TTTATGAATTCGTATTACATACTGTATTTGCTGCCATGGTTTATACACCTACGCATCCATCTTTTACGTGGATGCTTTGTACTGAAAAAAAACTGTTTTCGTGTGTGTCATCATACTTTATTGCACATTACTTTAGTGTGATTTTGGTACCCCTGCTCTTACCTCCTCTCAGATCAGCGGTTTCGTTGTTTATATTTTTGGCAAGAGTATTCCTATATAGATTGTGTTGTTTTGAGTTACCACAACTGGCCGCCAGGCCTTTTGTCGCCACTTGGTTGTGGCGCACCATCCCTTTGCTGCTGTTTGTTTTCATCCACTCCTTACAAATGGCTGCCGAGCAGTTGAAAGTTTTATCATTTCTTTCCCAATTTTTTGGGCATTTTTCATTTTGTTAACCATTGTTCTTATCAGTAACTCGGTCGTTTCCTTATATATGACATGTCTCAGATGTAGGTTATGTTTGCTATGAAATAGGTGGGGGAGGTATGTGAATTGGTGTGAGCTTCCCTCATCACTGCTTATGTGTCATCAGTAGTTTTGGCAAGTTTGTACTCGCCTTATTGTACTCATCTAGTTGTGCTTGCGGGAGTTGCGCTTTGGCTCTTTGGGCCCGCCTCTCACCCATCATTCTACTCGTAATTACCTAAGTGTAGTTACAGGATGCGAGCTACGCTCATAGTTACCTGTCTTCCAAGTACTCTGTCTTATAATGCTTTGAAATTACTGATGGTTTTTGGCCTCCACCACCTTCTCACCTAACTTGTTCCAACCGTCTACCACTCTGTTTGCGAAAGTGAATTTTCTTATATTTATTCGGCAGCTTTGTTTAGTTAGTTTAAATCTATGACCTCTTTTTCTTGAAGTTCCAGGTCTTGGGAATTCTTCCCTATCAAAATTAGCGATTACCGTTAATATTTGTTTGTAGTGATCATATCGCCTCTTTTTCTTCTACTTATCTTCTAATTTTGGCATATTTAATGCCTCTTACCTCTTCTCGTAGCTCTTGTCTTTCAGTTCTGGGAGAAATTTAGTTGCACGTCTTTGCACCTTTTCCAGTTGGGCACCATATGGGCACCACACAACTGCTGCCTATTCCAGCTTTGGTCCAACTAAAGTCGTGACCAATTTCTTTAGTATTTCACCATCCATGTATTTAAAAGCAATTCTGAAGTTAGAAAGTGTAGCATAGGCCCCTCGCACAATGTTCTTTATGTGGTCCTCAGGTGATAGTTTTCTATCTAGAACCACCCCTAGATCTCTCTCTTTATCAGAATTCTTTTAAGACTTCTCAGATAATTTATAGCTTGTGTGGGGGTCTATGTTCTCCTATTCCACATTCCATAGCATGGCATTTATTCACATTAAATTCCATTTGCCAAGTGCTCCATACACTTTTGTCCAGGTCTTCTTGAAAGGCATGACAATCATCTAAGTTTCTTGTCTTCCCTATTATCTTAGCATCATCAGCAAACATGTTCATATACAGTAATTCTGTTTTCCATCTGGTAGATCATTTATGCAGACAATGAACATTACCGATGCAACACATGTGGTGTACACATTCCTGAGCTTCTCGAGCTCTTTCATCTCTAAGTTTGATCTTGTGTATGGTGTCAGCCTCCACCACATCACTGCCTTCTATGTTCCATTTCGTTACTACTCAGTGACTGGACAAATTCTCTCTAATGTCTCTGTGGCTTTTTTGGGTACTCAGCTTCCACCTGTGTCCCATTATTGTCTTGTGTCTCTTCAGTCCGTGGCTCTTTGGGGTTGGTCGCTTCGGGTAGCTCTTGTGTCGATTCTAGGGTTCAGCTCTCTGTGCCATTCAGTGTGTGTTCAACGTCCTGGCAGACGGCCTGGCTCGTTTTATTCCTCATTCTACGGAGTGGACGGTCGATGCTGTCTCCTTCCTTTGGCTTTGCCAGATGAACGGGCACCTGAATGTGGACTTCTTCGCGTTGGTGTGGTCTCAGCATCTCCCATTGTATGTGGTGCTGTTTCCTGACTGTGAGGTTCTCGCAGTAGACACTTTTCGACAAGACTGGTCGAGGTCGTAGTTCCTGTACCTCTTTCACCTGGTCCAGCTGTTGCTCTGAGGTCTGGTATGGCTGGAATCTTTTTCTGGGAGAGTGATTCTCCTGGTTCCATGTTGGCCAGCCCAACTTTGGTTTCAGGCGTTGCGTGCTCGGTGTCCAAACCCGGGCATTTTTCCGCAATTCCGCCTCTTTCAGCAGGTCGGGCCGTTGAAGTACCTCGCTGGTTCGCCTTCCTGCTCTGCCTACGCGTCTAATATTTCTGACACGTGTGTCGCCATTTGGATGATGATTAGGTTGCTGCTTTGATGTGTCCTCCATCATTTTTTTTCTCTTTGTTGGTTTTCAATAATTTTGGACCAGGTTGTTTTGTCATTTCTTTCTTGGCTTTTTCTGGATCAGCATCTCATGCCTACTATTGTCATTTATAACGTGCAGCATTGTTGGAGCCACTGCAACTTACGTTGGGGGTGGATGTCACTTCCGTTCTGTTCTGTGAGCTTTCTCAGGTGTTTTTTCACCTCTGGCCTGCTCATGCACCGCCTGAGCTTTCTTGGTCTCTGGACCGGGTTCTTAACTATTTTCTTCTCGCTTTGTTGTGGCCCTCTTCAGTTCGTGATTACTTTGGGAAGGCCTTGTTTTTTTTATCTTTGATCTCTGGGAGTCAGGTTGGGGACCTTCATGCTCTTCTCTGACGCCAGGGGTTCTGTTCGTTTGGTTCTGATGGTCGTTTTGTTTATTTGCAGCCTTCTTCTTTTCTGGCGAAGAATGAGATGGCAGGCTTCCAGAGAGGGCCATTGGTTGTGGATGCTTTGTTGGTTAGGCTGGTGCATCATGTGCTGTGTCTGGTGGTGGCTTTACGTCGCTACCTGCAGGCCACTGATTCGGTGACAGTGGATACGCTCTGGGTAGATCCAGTTTCCCTGGTTCCCTGTTCCAGGGGTTGTGTGTCTTGGCTTGTCTTTGGTGTAATTACGTCTAGCCAGCCTGCGGTCTACCTTTCATGCCCATAATGTTCGGAAGTATGCTGCTCTTGCAGCTGTCTTTGGTAATATATCTTGGGTTGACATTCGGGCACGGGTTTTGGAGGTCGAACAGGGTCCTAGCCACCAGATATCATGAATGTTCCAGGCCCTCTACGGCCTTGTATTGCATTGGGGAGCCTGTCATGGTCGTCAATATCTACTTTGCCCTGAAGTGCTTCTGCCTCCTGGTTAAGTACCAGTTTTTTACCTATCTGTGGTTAGTTAGCTTCAGGGAGCCAACGGGGCTTCCCACAGAAAATCAACGTTGAATGTAATGAAACGCCATTTTCTGAGCGAGCCCCGGAGGCCTTCCCTCCGGTCGGTGGTCTTCATCATTCAGGAACTGGGGTGGTGGGCTGCCGCCCCCCCTCCCCCTTAGGGGGCGGGGGGCGGTAGCACCAATGAGTGGGAGTACTAGTTGGATGAAGTGTTGCTTGTTTTTCTTTCTGGGAGAGTTCTTTTGCTTTTTTTGGATGTAGGTCACAATTTTCACCAGATTGTGGTCTGTTTTGTTTCACCTATCTTTCTGGGTGCCTTTCCTGGTCAATGACAATTATGACATACTTTAAATGTAAAGTGTTCATGGGCTATGGCTACCTGCGCCTCTCTCAGGGGGCCAGGTTCTGGCTTGTGGTCCCCGGTAGGCAAAGGAACTCCTGTGACTGTTGACCCCAAACTAATATAGCACTATATCAGTTCGAATAGCTTCAGGAAACCTCCAGGGCTCGCCCAAAAATGGCATTTCATTACATTCAACACTGGTTTTTTAACTTTGTATTGCCTAGAAAATGAATTTGTCACTAACAGCAGTACAGTATATTCATTATACAATACTAAAATGATTCAATACTTGGTATTTTGATGTATAGAGTTGCATAATTCTTTACTGATAGCCTTCATTTAAATAAGATCAAATACTTCATAGTTGCTCTTCATTGTAAAAATAATATAATTCCACAAGATGCTTACCTGTTCTAAGCCTGTTCTAATCAACTTTCTTTGTTGACTAAATATTTATTTTGACTGTGTTTACCTTACCAGAATGCACTACACCAGCATTAACAACTACATTAATACGATGTTTTCTCTCAATCTGTCTATAGCACTACTCATCAGCCGGCAGCAGTAATCAAACCATGCACTTGTTGTATTCCTCACCAAACATCGTGTTAGGCTCAGGAAGCTCCTTTTAATGCACATTCCTTGTGAGCAATGGTCAAGTCTAATTTCTTGAAACCCTGTTAATTCTATTTTATTCTGGTTATAATTAACACAGAGCTTTGTTGGTTACCGTGCCTACTCTAACACAGCTCTGGTGGTTACCTACACTACACAGTATTAACTGGTTACTGTGATCACTAATACAGATCCTTCAGGTTACTGGGACTATACTAACATTAGAGCTCTGCTGATTACCTTGACTATATTAACATAGCTCTGCTGGTTACCATGCCTACACTAACAGAGAGCTCTGCTGGCTACTGTGACCACTAGAACAGATCTGCTGGGTTACCATTCCTATAATCACATGGAGCTCTGGTGACTACTGTGATCACTAGAACAGATCTGCTGGGTTACCATTCCTATAATCACATGGAGCTCTGGTGACTACTGTGATCACTAGAACAGATCTGCTGGGTTACCATTCCTATAATCACATGGAGCTCTGGTGACTACTGTGATCACTAGAACAGATCTGCTGGGTTACCATTCCTATAATCACATGGAGCTCTGGTGACTACTGTGATCACTAGAACAGATCTGCTGGGTTACCATTCCTATAATCACATGGAGCTCTGGTGACTACTGTGATCACTAGAACAGATCTGCTGGGTTACCATTCCTATAATCACATGGAGCTCTGGTGACTACTGTGCCTATGCTAACACAGAGCTCTGCTGGTTACTGTGCCTACACTTAAGAACATTCGACTATGACTCACCTGGCCGTGCTGGTGATGGTGTTGGTGGTGAGGGGGATGGGAGGGAGGATCATGGCGGCTGGTGATGGCTAACCGAAGTGGACCGTCCTGTTGATACATACGCACACCTCCAAAGCTAGCGCCACACACAAACATCTATGAGGACCGCCCATGAGTTATTCAAAAACACTTAGGATTGTTACATTGCAGGCCTTGCTTGGACAATAATACAGGGTCAATGATTTTGAGCTTGTTAAGGGAGGCTGGTGATGCACTCATGTCAGTACATCAACCAATGAAATTAGTAGATGAACGACTTGTGCAGTACTGTACATCTTATCAAAATTAAAATTTAATTTATTCGCTTAGGCTATCGCTAAATAATTATCGGACTTAAACCATGAATAACTAATGGACGGTCCAAAGAGACTTCATGCTGAAGGCACACAGCAATATCTATCTAGGGTCAATGCAAATTGTCAAACAAATGCAGAAAAATATGACCAAAATATAACTTCACAGCAGGATACCATCAACACTATTATTTCATAAGGCATTAAGAACCTAGTTCTTACAGTTACAAGAACATGGCAATGACCCAATCAAGATGCCAAGCGCTTTCACAAAAGGTTATTGTCACATTACCTTGCATAAGTTGGACCGCTTGCTTGACTTTAAACCATAATAAAAGTGTAGCCAAAATAATGCGTGTTAACCCTAATATTCCCAAATCGCTCACAAAGGAGATTAGTAGCACTAAGTTATATACTGTGACTGATTTGCAACATTTAAAATGTGTTTTCTATAAATAATTTACCTAATGGCTACAGTGTCTAGTGGCCTACAAGTCGGTTTCTATCAACGATCTCGACAAGAACGTTTAACAAGTAATTTTTGTACTAACTGGAACCAATTTTTTGCAATTTTAATTTTCAGGTGACTACCATATAGAGTAAATAAATATGAACAGTGCACATATCAATATGGTACTACCAGATGGGAAAAAAATGAAGGTACAGTATCAACAAACCAAATTTTGACTAATGCTTATCTAAGCACTTACTGGTGTTCACTTAATAATAAACAATAATTTTTTATGACGGAAAAAAATGTAATTCCAAGCTGCAGTGCAAAATACTGCATTCTGCATCACTACTGAGATTGAGCATATCTTCTATACCAAAATGCAACATCTGTAGTGAAATTCAGTATCCATACTCTAGCAAGATGCAGCATCCCTACAAGTGAGGTGCAGCATCCCTACTAGTGAGGTGCAGCATCCCTACTAGTGAGGTGCAGCATCCCTACTAGTGAGGTGCAGCATCCCTACTAGTGAGGTGCAGCATCCCTACTAGTGAGGTGCAGCATCCCTACTAGCGAGGTGCAGCATCCCTACTAGTGAGGTGCAGCATCCCTACTAGTGAGGTGCAGCATCCCTAATAGTGAGATGCAGCATTCCTACTAGTGAGGTGCAGCATCCCTACTAGTGAGGTGCAGCATCCCTACTAGTGAGATGCAGCATCCCTACTAGTGAGATGCAGCATTCCTACTAGTGAGGTGCAGCATCCCTACTAGTGAGGTGCAGCATCCCTACTAGTGAGATGCAGCATCCCTACTAGTGAGATGCAGCATTCCTACTAGTGAGGTGCAGCATCCCTACTAGTGAGGTGTAGCATCCCTACTAGTGAGGTGTAGCATCCCTACTAGTGAGATGCAGCATCCCTACTAGTGAGGTGCAGCATCCCTACTAGTGAGGTGCAGCATCCCTACTAGTGAGGTGTAGCATCCCTACTAGCAAGGTGCAGCATCCCTACTAGTGAGGTGAAGCATCCCTACTAGTGAGGTGCAGCATCCCTACTAGCAAGGTGCAGCATCCCTACTAGTGAGGTGCAGCATCCCTACTAGTGAGGTGCAGCATCCCTACTAGTGAGGTGCAGCATCCCTACTAGTGAGGTGCAGCATCCCTACTAGTGAGGTGCAGCATCCCTACTAGCAAGGTGCAGCATCCCTACTAGTGAGGTGTAGCATCCCTACTATTGAGGTGCAGCATCCCTACTAGTGAGGTGCAGCATCCCTACCAGTGAGGTGCAGCATCCCCACTAGTGAGGTGCAGCATCCCTACTAGTGAGGTGCAGCATACTACTAGTGAGGTGCAGCATCCTACTAGTGAGGTGCAGCATCCCTACTAGTGAGGTGCAGCATCCCTACTAGTGAGGTGCAGCATCCCTACTAGTGAGGTGCAGCATCCCTACTAGTGAGGTGCAGCATCCCTACTAGCGAGGTGCAGCATCCCTACTAGCGAGGTGCAGCATCCCTACTAGTGAGGTGCAGCATCCCTACTAGTGAGGTGCAGCATCCCTACTAGTGAGGTGCAGCATCCCTACTAGTGAGGTGCAGCATCCCTACTAGTGAGGTGCAGCATCCCTACTAGTGAGGTGCAGCATCCCTACTAGCAAGGTGCAGCATCCCTACTAGCGAGATGCAGCATCCCTACTAGCGAGATGCAGCATCCCTACTACCGAGATGCAGTACACAGTATTATGAGGCAGTAATTCAAGGATGCTTATGTATCTGACCATGCATGCTCATCTTTCCTGGTACTGTAACATTAATTTTAAATCATGATGCAACATAGCAATAAATAATTAAATAGAAAATAAAAAAACAGAGATCCATAATATGTGGGGTATTATGCTTTTGTGCAATCAGCTAATAGGTCATTCTAAATGGAAACTTTGCCAGTATAAGCCAATTCAACTCCAAAAGAGAACTTGAATTCTATTGTCAAAATTTTGTTTATGCTTCAAAAATAACAAAGAATTCTTAAAAAGTTTGCTTCAGAAATTAATCTCGGTAGTAAAATTAAATCCAGTAAAGAAGCCACACTGAACATGAAACAGATGAAACGATAAAATGAAAAACTATTAAGCAATCCACAACATGTCTGCTAGTTACCTGCGAGACTGGCGGCGCAGATGTCGCTGGGGGTGGTGGACTAAGGCCGTCATCTCTGCGGTCAGGAGGGGACACATCAGGCAGGATTGGTCCACCATTACCACTCCCGCTTGAGGAATGTGGAGGTGACACTGGGCCGGGTGACACACTGCCACTGTGTGCCAAATCAGCTGAAGACGGTAATATGTTTCTCAGATTGGTAAAAAAAAACCAGCGTTGAATGTAATGAAACGCCATTTTCTGGGTGAGCCCCGGAGGCTCCCTGGAGCTATCAGGTTGATACATGTTTATTAGTCGAAGGCATCAGTCAATTGGAGTTCAGCCTACTGGGGGACCACGAGCCAGAACCTGGCTCCCCCCTCAAAGAGGCACAGGGAGCAATGACTTATGGAAACCCCTATGTATTTGGGAGCAGTCCATGTCTGTCATCGACTGGGGTTGGCACCCAGAAAGGTAGGCATAACAAAACAGACCCCACAAGGTAAGAAAAATTGCAACTGGGGGGATGAGGGGGTGCTCCTCTCAGAAAATGCTGGTTTTCTGAGAGGAGCCCTTTGACTTCCTGGAGCTACCTAACCAAAGACAACAAAAAGAGGGACTTACCCAGGAAGCGGTCGTCACTCTCTCTTCAAGTCGAAGTCGAGACAACTGGCTGCAACCTGCGATCCAAATTCACACCTAGACGACTAGGACCAGGAATGTTGATGAGATAACGTGCGGCCACGACCCAGTTCAATCTCCAAAAATCCCCGCACCCGAATGTCAGCCCAGGACATACTGCCGAAAATGGCAGTCTAAGCAGTAAATTTACGAACATCATGAGCATGAGGATAGATCACAGGCTGGCTAGACTTAATGACCCTGCGGACAACCTGGGAGACCCGAGCCCTGGAACAGGGAACGAGGGAAACTGTATCAACCCAAAGCACATTCCTGGCCACAGAAGCCGAGATGCGTAGGTAACAGCGAAGAGCCACAACTGGACACAACACATGATGCACCCCCAAGCTTGATCAACCAAGCATCAATGACCCAAGGGCTCCTCAGGAAAGTCGCCGTCTCATTCTTCGCCAGAAGAGGAGGAGACAGCTGCAACTGAACAAACCAACTACCAGAACTGAAGGATGAAGGAATGAAGGAGAAGAAACCTCTGCTCCAGGAGGGGGGAGGACCTCCCCCCTGTTGCTCCCGGTCCAGCTGTTGCTTCGGGTCCTGGCTTGCTTGGAGAAGTTCAGACTCCCGCACAATTGTTTGAGCAACTGTCGAGTGACCCGGAAACCCAAAAAAAAACAGCAGAAGGCAGAACTGCAGCCAAAGCAACGACTCCGGAGGGAGAGACAAGGAAGAGGTCCGAGAGTCCCACACGAGACCTAGCCAGGTCTGAAACTGAGACGGAAAGAGATGAGACTTCCTCCAGTTCACCAGGAACCCGAACCCAACAAGCTGGAAAAGAACCAGATCTCTGGCGAGCAGACAAGCAGACTGGCTGGGAGCCCACACCAATCAGTTGTCAAGGTAGGCCAGAACCCGAATCCCCAGCAGATGCAGCCATGTCACCACAACCCGGTAAAGATGCAGGAATACGCAAGGTGCCAGATTCAAGCTAAAAGAGAGCTGTAAGCTGACACCCCACCACAAAATCTAATCAGTCCCTGAATACCAGATCAATAGGAACATGTCAATAACTGTCACTAAGGTCCAGGGACACTATCCAGGCACCCAGCTCCAAGAGAAGCCGGACCTGAGACAGAGTGGTCATCCGAAAGGAGGGGCAAGGAATCCAAAGGTTCAGATGGGACAAGTCCAGAATGAACTGCAGATCCGCACAGTCCCGTTTTGGCACTGGAAACAGGCGGGAAACCCACCTGAAAGATGGGTGTTTCAACCATGCCCAAGTGCACTCATTCTGAGATGACCCGATGGAGTGCAGGGGAAGAATCCTGCCCGTTAGCCCCCCCCCCCCCCCCCCCCCCCCCAATGCCACCACAGGCCGGTGGATATGACTTGGAACACGCACAAATTGTGGGACAAAGTGTGAGCAAACAGTGTGAGCCTCCCCCCCCCCCATCGCCCTATCAACAGGGCAAACCGCGAAAGGGCTGATGCCCCTTATGAGAAGCCTGCCGATGAACAGAGCGATCACCATGCTGACCACATGCTGCTGGCAACGTCGGCTCAGAAACTGGCACCAATGACTTGCCCCGACTTGCAGAACACCGAGCCCTAGCACAACCCTTTCGAGAATGGCCAACCTGGAGAACCAAAAAGTCAGACATTAGGACGACAACTAGATGAAGTCACCTGCAGAACCTGCGAGACTACAGTCTCTGCAAACAGCAATGGATCAAATGGCAATGAAAACCTAAGAGCCAGGGCCCAAGCGGATTCCAAAAAAAGGAGAGAGCACAGTCTTACAGTACGTGAGGCAAGAAGCAAAGAACAGACACACCACCTCCTTGAGAATAGGCACAAAAAGCTTCAACAGCGCGGCTTCAACAGTCGCCTTTTAGTTGTGACTTGTTTCGTTAGCATAGGACAGTGGGTGTTATAAAGGCGGAGAGTTTTTTGAAGAAATGATTGCACTGCTAGGTTGATGTCCCCTATGTTACCTAATTCGGACTCCCAGTGGATATTAGCAGCAGCAGCTATAAAATTGCCTATAGCAGTTTCATTGTGCAGCCTAAAGCTTATCTCTCTTGTCTCTAGAGGTGGTTTGTTAATGTTGGTTAGGAGAAATGTGGGGTAATTGTCTGTGGTCCTATCAATGATTATCCTTGAAGTAAGTGGAGAGGTTGTGTTAGTCCAGATGTAATCAAGAGCAGAGGCAGTACTATCAGTGATTCTAGTAGGTCTAGTGATTAAGGGTATGAGGAAGCAGGAATTCATATTGTTTTCATATTTATTCATATTCATATTTATATCATATTTATTCATATTCATATTTATATCATATTTATTCATATTCATATGATAGTAATTCATATTTATATAGTTTCTTGTATATTGTTTTCCTAATTTTTGTTATGCTTGAAATGCTCTGCATATTAGTAGCTTTAGGCACTGTATTTGCGTTATGAATCCTCCACTGTTCATGTATCGTCTTTATGTATGCACTCTTGCCTAGCTAAATATTATTATTATACTGTATACAATTGTTGGATAAAATACATGTAAAGCTAACTGAAGCTATTTTAGTTAAGGGTTAGGCTGCTGATGTCACCCAACCAGTTATTGGCCAGACTCCATGTTCTTTAGACTGGCCAAGTAATATGCACATCATCCACTCCCCACTGCATGATATCAAATGAAAACAAATGATATATTGTGTGATATAGTACTGCTTGAAAATATCCAAAGAGGAAGAATGGCTTACCTGTGGATCTGATGATTGCTACAGGTCTTGCCATGGGCGGTGGTGGTGGTGGTGGCAGCATAGAGCCTGTGGTGTAGTAGCCGCCTTGGATTTTGGTTGGGCTCCGAGATACACCAGGCGGGGATGCTTGCTGAAGAAGGAATTGTGATGTGTGTTATACTCTGCTAATTAATATTCCAGTATGTGCATTCTGACCTAAATTTACAAACATTGAAGTGTTCACAATCCTTACATAATATCATTAATATTTCCTGCCAACTAACACTCGCTAAAGCACTTCACCGACTCTCATACTCTAGTATAACTCTCACACACAGTCTTCATTAGGGGTGCTTAGTTAAATTTAGGTAAATATGTTTAGGTAAATATCTAAATCAATGTTTAAATACCAATTAATTATAGTTCACTTATTCTAATATGATATATATTAACACTTTCGCGCTATCTGGACGCGCCGGCGCGTCCCGTTTCGTCTAACGCTAATGCATAGTGGACATAAAGTTGAGTCCTCTTTTAAAATATTTGTATAAAATTCAATTTTTATCCGATTTACTTTGGGTTTGTTTCAAACTGCGCGCTATGAGGCTCTCTTTCTCACCACTAGGCTGCATGGTACAATAAGTTCATGAAAGGTGTGGATAACTTCGATCAAATGGTATTTTGTCCCAAACGGGTTGCAGGTGGGTGACTTTAGCCGTTTATACTTCCCCCATATCATGTATTATATGCATATGTCTGTTTAGGGAATTTTATTCCGATCAATATACAACCAAAAATAACTGTGTGCAACAAGTATAAACTTGACAAACATAACAAAAGTAAAAACATTTCGTGTGTGTTTGACGCTCACTGATATGTTCCAGCGTTGTTTTATATTTGGCGCTATTCTAACTTACGCTTTGTTGATATTTTTTACCTATGGGCACATAGAACATTCTATTGCGAACACATTGACACAAAAATGAATGACGTACATAGAAAATTAATGTCATGAGAGTGAAATAAGTATAAACTTTCAAAGCGCCGTGCGTCGTCCCGTCACCGATACCGGGTAACAATTTCACCACTTCCCACACTCTTGCGGGCGGGCCGCATCATTATTCTACACTTATATTCATATCACCGTGTTGGGAATTTCATTGCGAGTCCATTGATACCAAAATTAACGCTGTAGAATAAGTGTGGAGGTGATTACAATCCCAAGAGTAAAAACATTTTGTTGCTGATGGGCGCTCACGGCGAGTCATCTTCGTAGTTATTTATTTGGTGCTGGTATCCCTATACATTTCGTGACTTTTTTTACTGATGTTCTTCTAGAGAATTTTATTGCGAACACGTTAGTACCAAAATGAAATACGTAGCATGAGAACTAAGGTCAGAAGAGTAAAAAGAGTATACACATTTTTGTTTTTACGCTTAAGCGATAAAAACGCCGCGCGCACATTCAGTTGGCTGAGTGACCTTCGCGGAAAGCGCGAAAGTGTTAATGAGCAATAATAAACTCCTAAATTTATTTGTATAATCCTGTGTATATATATGTATATATGTATATATGTGTATATATGTATATATGTATATATGTGTATATATGTGTATATATATATATATATATATATGTCGTACCTAGTAGCCAGAACTCACTTCTCAGCCTACTATGCAAGGCCCGATTTGCCTAATAAGCCAAGTTTTCCTGAATAAATATATTTTTTCTAATTTTTTTCTTATGAAATGATAAAGCTACCCATTTCATTATGTATGAGGTCAATTTTTTTTTATTGGAGTTAAAATTAACGTAGATATATGACCGAACCTAACCAACCCTACCTAACCTAACCTAACCTATCTTTATAGGTTAGGTTTGGTTAGGTAGCCGAAAAAGTTAGGTTAGGTTAGGTTAGGTAGGTTAGGTAGTCGAAAAACAATTAATTCATGAAAACTTGGCTTATTAGGCAAATTGGGCCTTGCATAGTAGGCTGAGAAGTGCGTTCTGGCTACTAGGTACGACATATATATATATATATATATATATATATATATATATATATATATATATATATATATGTCGTACCTAGTAGCCAGAACTCACTTTTTGGCCTACTATTCAAGGCCCGATTTGCCTAATAAGCCAAGTTTTCCTGAATTAATATATTTTTTCTAATTTTTTTTTTATGAAATGATAAAGCTACCCATTTCATTATGTATGAGGTCAATTTTCTTTTATTGGAGTTAAAATTAACGTAGATATATGACCGAACCTAACCAACCCTACCTAACCTAACCTAACCTATCTTTATAGGTTAGGTTTGGTTAGGTAGCCGAAAAAGTTAGGTTAGGTTAGGTTAGGTAGGTTAGGTAGTCAAAAAACAATTAATTCATGAAAACTTGGCTTATTAGGCAAATCGGGCCTTGAATAGTAGGCCAAAAAGTGAGTTCTGGCTACTAGGTACGACATATATATATATATATATATATATATATATATATATATATATATATATATATATATATATATATATATATATATATATATATATATATATATATATATATATATATATATATATATATATATATATATATATATATATATATATATATATATATATATAATAAATAAATTTCATCATGTTCTTCAGGATTTTCAAGATTTGGTTCCACGGAGGTCTCATAATTCATTCAGACTGTTCAAGGATGTTTCAGACCTCAACTGGGTTCATCAATCACCATGTCATGCAGGGTCAATGGGCTCCATGCTAACAGCAGACATTTATTGCATACCAAGCGTTTGCAGTGGTATGAATTGGCGCCTTAGCAAACCTGCCTTCTGTGCGGCTCAGCTCTCCACCTTCATTTGGATTGTGCTCGTATGGTCCACTGCCTCAACCATGGGGGTTCAGATCATTCTCTTATCCTGTGGGGGTTGAACTCTGAGAATAGCTCAGCTGTTGGCTTCTCAGCATTTAGTCCTTCAGTTGGTTCCTATTCGGGGCATGTTGAAGCAACCCGTTCTCTTCATTTGCCATAGTGTACAAAATCTACCGTCCTATCCTAACCAGAAATGCACAAACCCAGAGCAACCCACCTTACCTAACCAACCAATGCATTGAAAATTTAGATTTTTGTGAACTGTTACTTTTCAAAGCATTTTCCATTTGGTAAGTTGGTTAACATACTATAACAATGTATTAGTTGAGAAGATAGGTTGGTTGACTGTTCTCGTGCGGGCTCTTGCTACCATCTGATCTTTTTCACTGTTGTCCAATCTTGATGGAATGATCATTCAGTAAGACTACTATCCTCTGATATTGCTAGATGCTACCTATCTACCTAGATATTGCTACCTACTTAAAATTATCTGTTAGATTAAGGACCTGCCCGAAACGCTGCGCGTACTAGTAGCTTTACAAGATTGTAAATACTATGCTATGTATTCTCACAAACCCAATGTACCTTCTTGTATATAAATAAATAAATAAATAAATAAATAAGATGTTCAGCCATTGGCAGGTGGACTTGTTTTCCTCTACATGTGTGTCTTGTTGGCTCTAATGTGGCTGGTTCAATTCACGTTTCCAGCCCTTCTGGCCTATTTTCTCAATCCTTTCACTTTGTGAGTGTGTCTCCCAACAGATTAGTGGCTTATCATATCTGGACAGCTGTAGAAATATTTGTCGCATTTGTGGCTTTGTTTGCAGTTTGTTTCTGTCTCGGTTTTCATTGTGATGCATCTTTTTTTTTCTCCTGGTTTTCTTAAATTTCCTGGGAGATCGTTTTATTCATTTACAGCTGTGTCCTTTCTGATTAAAAATATGACAGCTGTCTATGGGGAAGGGGAGGGGAGGTCCTTTCATGATTGATTCTTAGTTGGTTCAATTCATATTTAATGTTAAATTTTCATAATGATAACATTACACATGTATTATAGTTACAGTGATAAGTGTTTGTTACTGTACGTGTATTTTTATTTTACTTTTATACTGTACTCTATTTTTAAGGGGCGGCTAAATTGTTGGCAATTCCTCCTGCCTGGGGGTTAGTGGCTCTCTTCTGCCCCTCGGTGTGTACCGCTTTTGCTTTCTCCATGGTTAGATAGCGCCCTTTTTGTTTTCTCCATGATGAGATAGCACCAAGGAGCCTTTTCAAAATACCAGTGTTGAATGTAATGAAACTCCTCTTTCAGCTAAGTCCTTGGTGGCTTCTCCACCCCCACTCCCCTTTACATGGCCTTTGGTTTTTGTTGTCCTGGCTAAATGACTGAGGCTTCTGAGGGAGCAACAAACCTAGTCATGCAGCCACCTGGTGGTGTGCAAGTGTTATTAGTGAGTAAACTGCTTCATGACCAGGTGCTTTGCTTGATTTAGGGTCTCATTTTCTTGTTTTCTACCTTGCTGTTTCTATTGGTTAGCCCACTATGGAATGAAAAAGCAATGTAAAGGATCTGGGAGTAATCATGTCAGAAGACCTTACCTTTAACCCTTAAACTGCGCATGGCGTATATATACGCCCTGAGTAACATGTCCCACCGTGCGCATGGCGTATATATACGCCCTGAGTAACATGTCCCACCGTGCGCATGGCGTATATATACGCCCAAGGGTGCCAGGCCCGATTCAAATGGCCCCGCGGCTACACGGGGTTCACATTAGTTTCCTCAGGGCTCTTGTAAACAGACGCCATTTAAAAAAAAACCTTGGGGGATATTCTCACGTGTGAGAGGCACAGTACAGTTGGAGCAACCAAGGCTGGTGCACGCAGCATGAGCGAACAGCATTGTTGTTCAGCTTGTGACCACAGCATCGCCAAAAAATGTCAAAATAAATATATAATTGCTATTATTTAGCAATGACAATATTACAGATGACCCCTGACTGTGATATAAATAACCAGGGTTGTGATAATAGCAGGATTGTTGTAATAATTAGTGTGATGAGGGAGGAGTGATGCTGAGAGACGGAGGGAGATAGCATCATTTACTGACTGTGTGGCCACCTGTTATTGTTTGCATTCACCATACCAGGTCAGTGGTTCTCTGTGGTGAACACAAATGTAGATACTTATTACACTAATACATTATATATAACAGCAAAATGATTATGCTGGGAGGAGCCATTTGGGTGACAGAGGTGACGTCGTCTGCATGGTTTGTCTGTGTGGAGGGTGGCCACTATGCTCTTTGGGCACTCTACAAGCTTAGGTGTACAGTTATGGTGCATACAACATGTAGATACTTATATATAATATGTGTATATAGTGTAATAGCACTGCAAACAGTATTGTTGGGGGAGAAAGTTTAGTGCGTGTGACCTTGAATGAGTGAGGGAGCCGCCAGCTGACTGTGTGTATAGCGACGATTCTTAGTGCCTGAACTAACTATATCAGCTTAGCTGTACAGTTGTGGTGAACAAAACATATACTGTACATACTTATATATAACATCTGTATATAGTGTCATAACACCACAAACAGTATTGTTGGGGGAGAAAGTTTAGCGCGTGTGGCCTTGAGTGAGTGAGGCAGCCGCTAGCTGACTGTGTGTATAGCGATGGCTCTTAGTGCCTAAACTAACTATATCTGCTTAGCTGTATACGTGTGGTGAACAAAACATGTAGTTTCTTATATATAACATCTGTATATTGTGAATAAAATATAAAATAGGATGGTGGGAGGAAAAAGTGGGCGAGTGAGGCGTTGTTGAGGGAGTGGCAATGAGTGGTTGCTGCATGGTGTGTGGCGGTAACTCCTCGTTGCTTTTCGACTCATAATACCAACTTAGTGGTTTGTTATGGTGAACAAAACATGCAGATACTTATATATAACCTGTGTATAGAGTGTAATAGCAGCAAAACTATTTGTTTATTGTTTTATAAACATAATAATTGAATCACTAATATGCACACTATACTTTTGAGTATAGCGATTATTCACCACTTTTATTATATAAATATATTACAATACACACTACTAAATAATATTACTGCAAAAAAAAAAAAAGAAAAAATCAGAGACATAGAAATAATTAAGTGATAATATCTTTGTGGCAACTCCCACCTGTCAGCTCAGGTGACGCTGACCGGCTCTGACGACCACTCTGTCAACGCCCACTTTTTGCCAGACTTCCTCGGTCATTTGCGCCCAAAATATGTCGCCTATGATTTTTTTTCCCGTGCTCAGGGAACACAAATTAACATTTTAAGAAGACAAAATAATTTTTTAGAATTTTTTTTTCTTGCGCACAGGGGTGTAAATGTCCTCAGGACCCCTGAGCAGTGGAAGGGTTAAAGAACACAATAAAGTGGCTGCCACGACTGCAAGAAAAAAGATGCAAAATAGCCCCCATTGAAAAGCACAGGTGCAATAGATACACTTGGAGAGAACTTTATTAATATCAAAGGCCGAGACTTTTCAACGCTCTCCCATTACACATAAGGGGGCATAATTGGCTAGTCTCTCATGGTGTTCGAGAGAACTCAGACACCTCCAAAGGATACATGATCAACCAGGCTGTGAGCAGCTGCATCATGTTGATCGTGGGAATTACCACAAGGTAACCTCAAGGTAAGGTAGCTAACCAAACTTGTGGTTGCTGTCTCTTGATTACGATGATATAATATTCCCTGCTCCTTATTACTTGGTAGAGTGGGCCAGGTTAACCTCTGATTCCTGGTAGGCTTATACCCGCCAAACACACACCGAAACTACGACGTTGGTACAACGTTCGAACAAGTTTTAACACCTCCTAACCAGTTATAACAATCAATATAGCAAGTTGTAACAACGTTCTAATACGTCATAAACACGTTAAGCCAAGATGTAACAACTTTATTATAAGTTGTAACAAGCGGAAAATAGAGACAGTTACGGTTTGTGTTTCCAGGGTAATGACTCATATGACCTGACGTGAATTGAATTTGGTGGGGTTATCCAGGTACCTAACATAACAGAGCCACCAAGGATCCACCAGAAAGAGCCATTTTATTACATTCAACCCTAGGTTCTTTTTTATGTAGAAGTCCATATATTTTTCACATTCCATCCACAGTCACTACAGGTACTATCATTCATCTGTGGAGTACATGTTGATTTGTTTACTTGAGAATAACAATATCACATGTAAAATTTATAGGGGATCTTGGTAGTACAGCCGGGTTCGTTCTCTACACACATCTGAGAATTCTGGGTTCGAATCCCGTGCGAGAGAGAAATGGTTGGGTACATTTCCTATCACTTAATGTGTCTGTTCACCTAGCAGTAAATAGGTACTCAGGAGTTAGTCAGCTTGTTGTGGAGTTGTATCCTGGGCGGGGTTATTAATTCAACCTTGGTTACCTCGATATAAGCCTAACGTGTATGAATACATGTTGGTTGCTTGTCCCTCGACACAATGAATCATTATTAATTATAAAACTTCCTCTGTCATACCACTCTTATTAAGATGATCTTGCATTACAGCTTAATGGTAGTCCTGACTCCTTTACACTATGTAGCACTACAGTGTGAAGCAAAGAATTACTTATAAGGGAAGTGTAAAAATTTTAAATTTTCCCCATGGATTCATGGGTAAATATTAGCAGGAAAAAATATAAATCCTCCTGATTGCTTACCTGAGAATGCTGTGTGTTCTGTGCTTCCTGACAGACAAGTGTGACAAAATCGGAGAAGGTATCGTGGCCGTTTTCATGGTATTTAGTGGGCGAGGGTGGACCTGCTTCGTGGTAATAGCTTGGTGCTGCAGCCATGACTGTACTGCTTAGTGACATGGGCGGCAACACTGTGAAATTTCACAAGTCATGTAAACAAAGCAATTTAGCTTAAAAATGATAATATAAATGAAACAAGTCTTACATTATGGCTGCGAATGATCTATGGATCATGAAAGCTTTCATATCGCTCTCACTGTCTTTCTGAACTTCATTAACTCTCATCATATATATTACTGTGGGCTTGGGTAAGCATGTATGCAAATGCACTAGTAAGGAACTTGATTATTTAAAACAGACCACTCCTGCACACTGTTTATCTATCCTGAGTCCACATGCATGCATCTATTATTACATGTCATTCTCACACATCCACTTCCTTACATATGTACATACACGTTTATATTTTTTTTTTATATTGTTTTATACTGTAATACATTTTATATTTATGTTGCAAAGCTATTTACAAATATCAGAACAGAAGAAGACTGCATCCTGCTACAGGACCTGAACTAGCTCTAGGCGTACTCTTAAAAAAATAGAAAATGCGACTGGACTTCAACCCTGCTATATTTATCTCGATATTGAAGAAGGTCTCGTGAAAAAAAATAAACAAGGAAGGACTATACGCAATAAAATCACAATAACGTGATATATCTCAGAAAATCATTGAGCTACAAGCTTGGTGCATCTACATTCCTAGTAGAACCCATTCTTCTGTTTGGATAGTACTTTTTGTAACTGTGGGCCATTGTATATAAACGTAATGGACAATTAGATACCTGTAGTAGAATTTGGTTCTATTCACTTTATAGAGTAAAAAAAAAAAGCTTAAATATTTTTAGGCCTAGTATATCTCATAGTTTATTATATTAGGCCTCAGATAGTGTGTATTAGGCCTAGGAAGGTTAGGTTAGGTTAATTTTTTTTTACAAAAGTACAAAATCTTTTCCAGTTTGTCCAAATTCAATAGTACCGATTTCTACTTTCTAATTGTCTTTTACATCAATATATGTACAATGGTCCTTATTGTTACTATAAGTACTACCTAAACAGGAAGATGGCCTACCTAGTGAGTCTAGGCGGACTCCAGCTTGTGTAACCTATAGCATGTTGTGGGTCATGGATACAATGTGCATCTGGCATGATTGAGGATGCTGGCTCAATCCCACCATCCTGCTCCAAATATTTTCTCAAATAATGACTCCTGTAATCAGAGTAGGACTTGTGTGGAAACTGGTATAGATACAAAAAAGCAAAAGGAAACATGTAAAGTACATGGAAAGCCATCTGTAACATCCTTGGATCTAAACAGCAATCACATATCAATCAGATAAAACTCCCCAAGGATGATTATACACCTGCAACAGATTTAGAACCGGCAACAGAGTTTTAATAACTTCTTTTCATCAGTTGGTGTTAACCTTGCCATAAAAATCCCACAGACCCAGACACATGTTACTACATATCTTACAGGCAGCTATCCAAACTCTCTTCTCCTTTTACCAGTCAGCCCAACAGATGTTGTGTCCATCCATCACTCACTAAAACCCAAAGCTGGGAACATTAGTGAAATACCATCAATGGTATACAAAAGTGCCTCCCATGCCCTTGCACTACCCATAGCTCTGCTGTTCAATAAATCTCTAGTGTGTCATACATTCCCGATATCCTTAAAAAACACGAGTAATGCCAGGTCATAAAAAAGGCAATACGGCAAACATAAACAATTACAGACCAATATCAAATCTACCTATATTATAAAAAATTTGAAAAAATATTTGGGCACCAGGACATGAGCTGAAATTAATGCTCTACTCCTACCTCATATAATTCAACATACTAAGTTCCTGTCAGTTTGGCTTCCGCTCCCAAAAGTGTACCAGCGATACAATTATTAACCTGCTTGATATCATTTACACAGCCCTTAACAAAAATGACTTCCCAATTGGATTCTTCAATGACTTGAGAAAGGCATTTGATACTGTTAACCATAACTACCTCTTAAACTTCACCATTATGGAATCCGAGGCCTTGTCCTGAACTATATTCGATCTTACCTTAGTGACAGGCACCAATATGTAGCCATCAATGATATAACCTCCCCCACTCTACCATTTACTGTAGGAGTGCTGCAGGGCAGCATCCTAGGACCTCTCCCATTTCTTATATACATCAATGATCTGCCTAATGTCTTTAACATTTTTAAACCTATACTATTTGGTGATGATGCTACCCTCATCTACTCGGACCTCAACCCACACACGCTAAATAATGTTGTAAATAACGAATTGAAAAAAGTTCACTCATGGATGTCAACCAACAAGCCCTCACTAAACATAGAAAAAGACTTACTATATATTATTTGGAAGCAACTCAACAAATGCAATTCAGCTTCAGATAGACAATGTTAACATCAGCAATAAAAAGGTTGGAAAGTTCCTTGGCCTTTAAATAGACAAGAGACTCAACTACAGCACCTACATACAACACATTACCAAAGAAGTCTCAAAAATGGTCGGTATACTTTCTACAATTAGATATTATGTACCTAACTCTGCTCTCCTCTCACTATACTATGCACTAATTTATTCCTATCTTACTTGTGGTATCTGTGAAAGGAGTTCAACCTCTGCAAACTACCTCAAGCCCATCATCACCCAGCAAAAATCTGCTATCAGGACAATAACAAACTCTGCTTTCAGACAACACACAGCTCTTCCTGTTTAAATCCCTCAACATGCTAAACATACACTCACCCCACACATTCTCTTGTGTCATTTACATGTACAAAACCTTGTTCCTAGATGTAAATCCTGATCTGAAACTTTGTCTTGACAGATTTAATAGAACCCATATTCACCATACCAGAAATAAATATATCTTTGATATCCCCAGAGTCAAACTAGATCTGTGTAAACACTCCATGCAAATGAAGGGACCTAGTCTATGGAACTCGCTTCCTAATGAATTAAAAAGCTGCCCAACTTATACCTTATTCAAAGAAACACCAAAAAGTACCTAATTTCATCCTCATAGCTTTCTACCTAGTGTTTCACACTTGCACTGTATCATGTGCTGCCAAAATATGTGCCTAAGCCATATAACTTCATTGACAGTGCCATCATCTTATATCATAGTTGTTATGTTGAACGCAAATTTTACTACAATGTACCTGGAAATAATCCTCAAATTATGCTACAAATGTACCTATCGATAATCCTCAAATTTTACTAAAATGTACCTACTAATTTTCTTCAAATTTTCTTACAATGTATCTATTCACTTTTTTCAATTTTGCTACAGATTACCTACTTAAAATTATCTGTTAGATTAAGGACCTGCCCAAAACGCTATGCGTGTCAGTGGCTTTACAAGAATGTAAAAACCTCAATGCTATGTGCTCTCATAAACCCATTGTACCTTCTTGTGTGTGTGTGTGTGTGTGTGTGTGTGTGTATATATATACATAAATAAATAAATAAATCAGAATTGCTGTCAGGAATCTGGAGAAGCAGACTTTTGACATTCTAGAGAAATAGAGGAAACTGTAGTAGGACCATTGACCGATACAGAATATATAACCGCCTTCCTTAGGCGTGCTATTAATAAAAGACAATAATGAGCTTATGTTCAAAGTCTGCAGAAAACAAACGTACATAAGTACCCTAATCCACTTTTAGTCTGACAATGATAATACAGTATGATGAAAAGTGATGCAATAACTGCATATCTTTCTCAGAACATTTAGGACATGTAGAAAACATTTAGGACATGTAAAAAACGTTTAGGACACGTAGAAGGACATTGTGGAAAAGTATCAATACATAACTGATAACTTCTTACACTTTCAATAAATACATTTATTAGAGAATGTAGATACATAGCAACAAAGACTGTTAGCAATAACAGAATTAGCTCTCGTGCCAGGAGTGGTTGAGGGCCACAGGGCTAACACTACAAACTAGACATGACGGGGCTGATCTCATTGAGATTTATAAAATACTGAACCAACTTGATGTTAATCCAGACCAATTATTTAAAAGGTCAGATGTAACACATGCAAAGGGGCAACAGCTTGAAGCTCAATAAACCAAAATGTATTAGAGAAAACAGGAGATGCATTTTCACCCATATGGTTATACACTCATGGAATTGTCTACCCACCAAAGCTGCAAATGCTAAGACATATGTCTGATTAAAATTCAGAAAAAAAAATCGTCAGGAACAGTGGGGTGACCTTTGACTAGCTGCCAGCTCCTTATCACCGACGCTACTACAGATAGTGACCATTAGGTAAATTCAGGTAAATTTCCAACAGGACGCGCAGTCATCATCATAAAGCGTCAATAAATAATAAAGGTCTTCTTATATGTCATTTCACCCTACCTTCAACTCAATATCTTATCTCAATATAAGCAGCTGGCACTGAGCATCACTTTTAGATGTCATAAAGCCATAACATGTGAAATACCATTAATAAAGTCTACTTTATATTTGGTGTCTTCTGAGTCACATAGTCAGCAGTCTGTGCTATATTCAACCAAATCTAGAAACTACCAGAGTTATACAACAATGCTTATGCCTAGGCTGAGAGGACTAACCTCAGGCTAGGCTGCAGGAGCGCTCTCACCGCACTCGAGGAAAAACTGAATAAAGGAAACATAACAAAATATAAAGTTCTCCAGGGAACTGGCCAGGAAAACTAGTGCCACAGATATGCTATTATAATGTTAGGAAAAACGTCTTGAAAATATGAAAATAAAGATAGCGAGCAAGTTAGAGCAACTTGAGGGGGTTAGAGTAAATTATATAAAGCTAATTCAAAATGGTCATAATAGTGGATATTGTTAGACATGGGAGGATTGGAAGTTATTGCATTAGGCAACTGACAGCTGGGACGACAAGATTCACAGTCTAATACTCAATCCTAAAAGTCTGTTTTAGCGAATATACACAAAGTATTATAGTAGTGAGTAAACACAGACACTTTCCGAGCCGTGGCATTTGGTTAGCCACAAAATATAAGATCCAATGTGACCTGAAGAAGAACCATGATAGGCAGAAGATA